CCTTAACTATCCTACAGAACCCAATAAAAATTTGCCAAAAGTTTGCAGTATGTAGGCAACATTCATCTCACATGAAGTCATTGTCACCAATAATATGCATAATATAGCAAAAGGGAATCATCAAGTATCAATCTGAACCCTCTCATGAACATAGCATCTCAACTTCGCAATTTCATGAAAAACAAAAATCTCTATTTAGCATAGGCGAAAATTGAAATCGAAGAGTCTGTGAGATAACCATACCTGGAACAAGTGAGTGGATGATTTTTGATGCAAAATACGTGAAAATTCATAAAAAATAACCACAAAATTTGTCCCAATTGCCGCGAATTCAGAGCTGCAACTGCTAGGGTTCTTGGATGAATCCTCTGATTAAATCATGTTTGTGTGAATTTGGATCTGTGGATCTAGGTTAAAAATCCTTGGGAGAGAGTTTGGAGGGAAAAGATTGAAGTTTGAATGGCTAAAATTTGAAAAATCAAAAAGTGGGAATGGAATTGAGGTGCAGCTAGTGCGAAGAAGAGGAGAGAAGAATGAGATTTTGTTCATGGAACTTTGTTATATCTGGTGCCCAAACAGTATACAGCGTCGTATACTAAAATTTGCACCAAATATTGGAAGCAGATACTTCAGTGAATATATATCTGGGGCAGGTATATGGGGCGATAAAAACTATATGAGGCTGTCTACTCGAATTTTTGAAAATTTTGAGAAATTGAAAAGTACAAAATCTGGCCCAGTTTAGCAATGAAGTACACCAGATATTAGCCCAGTTATTGCCCTGAAAATGTCTATACATTACACCATACCTATGTTACATTAGCACTATGCTCTTCACTCTCCACACATTATTTTCAAAAAGACCTCCCACAGAAAAAGTAACACCACAACTCATCTTTCCCACATATGAAACATGAAATAACTCATGAAACTGAATGGAACTCCCCCATCTCCTTAGCACATGCTACCATATTTTGCCTTGATTCCTTGATGTTGCAACCTACAAACACAAACAAAACATTCATTGATAACTAACTACCATAAAATCTAAATTTCGTTGGGTTCCCTCCCAACCAGCGCTTTGTTTAAAATCGTTAAGTTCGACTTAATGAATAAGCTTCTCAAGTAAAAGAAGGAGGATTAAATCCTCTTGATGAACGCGGGATATATATATATATAACAATAAACTCATTCCATAATCAAGTTTTACATTTATAAAATCCTAAATATCCCACACGCAATTTTTCTACAAGTATACAGGTCATGAGCGAGTATAGGGTATTAAGGGTCGAACCCATAGGGAAGATTTTCAATTACCGATGATTTTCGAACTCCTTTATTATTTAGACAATAAACATGAAGTAAAAGTAATAAAATTAACACTAGAAAGCTCCTAGAGGTATGGAATTCCTAACTACTCTTGCAAATGACATTACCGGTTACTTGTATGTTATTATCTTGACTAGTTATAGCATAATTTGCTAATGTATGTGAAACCTACTCTCGTAGTGAATCAACTATACCTACTCTCACGATTATGAAATCAACTACAAGTTCATATTTTCTGTGAAATTAGATGAAACCAGTCACTAAAGCCACAAAGGTGTACCTCTACTCTCGTGAGTGAACTCCCTAGGTTTATCACTTCCTTGAACTAGTGTTAAATTCCAATTTTTATTGCAAACTTAACACCTTAAGATTATCACAATTAATGGCCGGTTAATCATGATTAGAAAAGCAAAAGTGATAAATGACTTGCTTAAAATAATATCATCAAGTAATCAAGTAAACATCACTAACAAGACATAGAAAGTTTATCCATACTCTAGGCATAAACTTTAACTAAACATGAAGAACAAGATCCAAACTTGTATTATAGTTAAACATGAACTTAAATACAAAAGAGAAAGTGATAGGAGAGAAGTTACCCTTATCATATTAGCTCTAACTCTCCATCTTTGCTCCCCAACCTTCATCCAAATCTAACTACAAATACAATAAGGACAAACTACACTAACTATACTATACTACCCTAACTAATGAACTAAGGAAATTCTAGTGAAAGTTACATTTTTGGTGAGTTTCTCTAGCTTTCCAAAGTTGTGAAAATGGTTTCCAAAGACTGCTATTTATAGAGGAATTCCATTCAAAAGACAAAGTGTTAAATCATGTTAAGATTCCTCTTGAGCCCACAAACAAGCTAGATTTGAGTTGTAAAGCTTCTTTTGCAGCTGTCTTAGGCTGTTTCCACCGATATTCTTGCAGGAAAATGGGTCAAAAAGCTTGTGTAAATAAAACACAAGTTACAGAGCAAGTTGCAGCCGAAATTGAGGAATACACGACCTTGGAATACGCGACTTCAAGCCACGTATTCAAGAGTCGCGTTTTCACTTTTGTGAATTTGGCACCAATTCAACTGCTATTTTCTTGATGATGGAGGTGGAACTAACTCTTGTGCAAAACATGAATATTGTAGCCCTTTGAGTTATCTTTCCAATGCCTCAAGAATCATCCCATTTGGAGCTCTGTGGACAGATAAATGACTAAAATACCCTTGACTGGTCAGAGCTCTGTTTTAACTTTCGATAACAGAGTTGTACTTCTATATTTTGACATTTTGATAAGGAAAACGACTAAAAAGGACTTCTATGTATTCATACCAAATGTAGATATATCTCTTAGATTCAAAATGGTATAAGAATCACCTCAATCTGAAGTATGTAGCTCAAGATATAGCCGAAATACCACAAGGTGGCAAAGCTGTCTTAACTTGCATTTCTTCCTTTGAATGTTTTACACTTCATGTTTTCTTTTTATCACTTCAAATCATCAATAATCATCCAATTATCTTCTCAATTCATGTCATTTGATGATTGAATCCTTAAACATATAAAAACACGAAGTTTTCACTATTAAAGTCCATAGAAGTGCAATTTTTACCACTTAAACCACAAAATGCATATTTTCACTAGAAACTTAGTTAATTAGCTATAAAAGTAGTTAAAACACATCAAAGCTAACTAATAAAATAGACTAAAAACACGTAAAATATATACTTATCACCTCTCTAGGGGTTAAAGTTCCCAAACCATCTCTCCTTGTGATGAGCAAGGCATTGTTCTCCTTTATCTAACAATATCAAGGGCCTAAGATGATTGTTAGTTTGATCAAAATAATATTCATCAACATTGTATGGTTGGGAATTCATGCCCTTCTCAATTTCACTCAATGTTTCACCTTTAACTTTATCAAATGGAGGAAAGTTCTCAACTTTCTTGATAAAAATGTCATGCCTTGATCCCTTCATGGCTTGATCATGCTTCTCATGATGACAAGGAGTGCTTCTTTCTTCCTTTTGCTCCATTTCATGAGTGGCCGTAGTCACCTATGAATTCTCTAAATTGGAGTTAGTAGAGCGAATGCACTTTCCATTGGACAGATTAAAAACCTCAGTTTCAACATTCACTCTAAATAAAAACTTATCTTCTTGTACATCAATTATTGTACCGATAGTGGCAAGAAATGGTCTACCTAATATTATAGGTATGTTTACATCTTCCTCTATATTTAGGACAACAAAATCTATAGGTATAACAAAAATTTTAATTTTTATGAGCACATTTTCTAGTACACCTATGGAATATTTGATTGTCCTATCCGCCAATTGCAATGTAATATTGGTAGTTTTTAATTCAGTTAACCCCAACTTTTTGGCAATAGATAAAGGAATCAAAGATACACTTGCACCTAAATCACATAAAGCATTTGAGAACTCAATATTATCAATAGTGCAAGATATAGAAAAATTACTGGGGTCCTTCAATTTAGGAGGGAGTTTGTTTTAAATGATTGCACTACATTCCTTCGTGAATACAATTACTTCATTATCCACAAACTTCCCTTTTTTGGACATAAGATCCTTTGAAAATCGAGCATAGGAAGGAATCTGCATAATAGCATCAAGAAGAGGAATATTAATATGTAGTTGTTTGAACATCTTCAACAATTTATCAAAGTCCCTCTATTGCTTCTCTTGCTTAAACCTGTGAGGAAAGGAAATAGAAACATTAGTATTAACATTAAGAGAAACTTTAGAAATAGGTAAATCCACATCAATAACTATATGATCTTTCTCCTTGTTAATTTTTCTTTTTTCACTCTTTCCATCTTTCTTATTCTCACAAGACACACCAAGGTTAGGATCCTCTAATTGCTTGCCACTTCTAAGTGTTATTACATTGACTCGCTCTCTCGGGTTTGTTTTGATTTTGCTAGGTAACTCCCCCAAATTCTAGGATTCAAAGCACTAGCTATTTGACCAATTTGGACCTCAACATTTCTATACATTGTAGTAAGTTGGTCCAATCTCCCCTCAATCCTCTCAAATCTCTCGGAAGTTGCACTCACTAAACTATCAATTTTATCATTTGTAGCATTGGTTAGCTTCTCTATCGCAAGCTCCCAAGCAGGCTTAGTCTCCATATTCCTAGGCCTTGGTTGAAAATCCTATGGATTTTGTGGTCTTGGTTGGTTCGCTTAGTCCCTCCATCCAAAATTTGGATGATTTCTCCATCCCCGATTGTATGTGTTCGAGTAATGATTGTTTTGTGGAGACCGATTATAATTGCTAACAAATTGCACCTGTTCATTCGTACAATAAAATCATTATGATTTCCTCCATACATAGTACAACAAACCACATTAGCATTTGAATTCAAACTAAAACCAACATTAGGCACATATGCATTCAACACCTTTACTGTATTATCCATTTTGGCATTCAACAAATTAAGACTATCAAGTTCAAACATACCTGCCGCCCTTCTAGTGTTACCTCTCTTGTTAGCTCATTGATAATTGTTCGCGGCCATTTTTCAATCAATTCATGAGTTTGGACAGCTAATTTACCCATCAATGCACCTTTGGCTACAGCATCCACATGAGTCTTGATAGTGAAGTTCAATCCATTGTAGAATGTTTGCACTATAAACCAATGTGGAAGACCGTGATGTGGACATCTTCGTTGTAACTCCCAAAATCGCTCCCATGTTTCGTACAAAGATTTTCCCTCCTGCTGACAAAAGTTAGTTATATCCATTCTTAACTTAGCAGTTCTTGCCGATGAAAAATATTTGTTTAAGAATAAGCGAGACAAATCTTCCCAACTTGTGAAAGTGTTAGGTCGATGTGAATTCAACCAAACTTTAGCTTTATCCCTCAATAAAAATGGAAACAACCTCAGCCGAATTGCATCTTCACTAACACCATTCAACTTAATGGTATCACAACTTTCAATAAAAGTGACTAAATGAGAATTAAGGTCCATGGTAACATTACCTCTGAATTGATATTTCTTCACCATTTGTATTAATGCAGGTTCAATTTCAAAGTTGCTAGCATTTACCGTAGGTTATGTGATGCTTGTTTGTAGACCATTGCCTCCCGGTAATGCAAAATCTCTCAATGCTCTCCTATTAGTCTCTTCTGCCATTTGCTCTATTCGAGAAAGTTCAATATAGAGTGTCCCTCCTTGTTGATCTTTCGTGTTCTCTTGTAGTGCGCGCCTTCTTGTTCTCCTCAAAGTCCTCTCAATTTTTGAGTCTAACGGCACAATTGTCTGCAAGGCTCGATGCATACACTACCAATGACCAAAACGATAAATCAAGACAACTTTTACTGAATATAAATGTAATAATTTCAACAAAAGCAATCTTTTACACCAAAAGTTATATACAAAATCTCACTACAATCAAAGTCTAGATTAATAAAGATCATTTGGTTCTAATATTGTTGTGCTCTCCGGCAACGGCGCCGAAAACTTGACGAGGTTCCCCTACACCATAGTTTTATTCAATAACTCCCTCGTTAACTGCAAGTATACAGGTCGCTTCATAGTACAAGGAAGTTAAGGTCGATCCCTCGAGGAGCACTCACAATTATTAGAACTTAATCCTATTTTATTATCTAGACAAGCAACAATAATGAGGAATAAAAACTAATATAGATACTAATGTATAACAACTACAAGTTAATGGATGAACTCAACTAAACACAAGCTCTAGGATATGGAATCAGCCAAGTGTCCTTGTCTATAGTTCAAATGAGTGATAAATATTACACTACTTGTATTGCTAAGAGTTCATTCACATAAGGTATCCTAAACTCACTTTCACGATAAATCGAGTGTCACCTATACATGCATTTCCCTACTTTCGTGGTGAAATAACAAGCATGGTGCCATTAAACTCAAGAATGTATTAAACCCCACCTAGTGTCAACACTACTTTCGTGCGCCAAGATCCTAAACTCCATCCAAACTGGTTCCATCATCATCTACCAACTTTCATTGATAAAGAACAACTAAAATAATTTGTAAATGGTGATCAAACATTCACAAATGTCCAAGTAAGTTTAAATGAACTAGTAAGTACAAAAGGCAACATTCATCAATTCATTCAACCAAGATCAAGAAACACAAGGCTTCATCCACTCCTAGGACAAATATATTAGCTAGACATGAAGAATAAATACATGAAACTTAAATCTTTGATGAATCGCAACATATATCCAACAAAATAAAAAGAAAGGGAGAAGAAAATGGTTATTCAATTGAAGGAACAAAGATCTCCAAGTTCCAAAATCTCCTTTGCCTTCAAAATGCCAAGATTACATCAAGAGTTCATTAAGAGTTTTTGTTAAAAGTCCTATTCTATTCTAGAGAGAGAGTGTGCAAGTTCTAGTCTAAGAAAGTTACTCCCCTCCTCCATTCTAATTTTTTGATATCCCAACAAAAAGTTCTCTCTCCCTTCTTCAAGAAGCTACTCCCCAAAAGTCTTCAACCACCCTTTCTTGATATAATTGGATATTGAAAAATGACATATAGTTGCAAAAAGGTAAGAAAAATTGATGTTTTAGACCCAACTAGCATCTATCAAGACGTCCAAGTTGTCACCAGAAAAGGAACTGAAAAGTTGGCAAGAAACACAAGGCTTCATCCACTCCTAGGACAAATATATTAGCTAGACATGAAGAATAAATACATGAAACTTAAATCTTTGATGAATCGCAACATATATCCAACAAAATAAAAAGAAAGGGAGAAGAAAATGGTTATTCAATTGAAGGAACAAAGATCTCCAAGTTCCAAAATCTCCTTTGCCTTCAAAATGCCAAGATTACATCAAGAGTTCATTAAGAGTTTTTGTTAAAAGTCCTATTCTATTCTAGAGAGAGAGTGTGCAAGTTCTAGTCTAAGAAAGTTACTCCCCTCCTCCATTCTAATTTTTTGATATCCCAACAAAAAGTTCTCTCTCCCTTCTTCAAGAAGCTACTCCCCAAAAGTCTTCAACCACCCTTTCTTGATATAATTGGATATTGAAAAATGACATATAGTTGCAAAAAGGTAAGAAAAATTGATGTTTTAGACCCAACTAGCATCTATCAAGACGTCCAAGTTGTCACCAGAAAAGGAACTGAAAAGTTGGCATCAAATTGTGCAAGCTGTGCCACTAGAAAAAGTTTTCCGCTCAAGAATCCAATGCAGTATCTAAAGCGATTCTCACTATCCGGCACCATATAGTGCAAAGAACTCTTTTTCTAAAATTCTCTGATGAGTATCTGACGCAGTATCTAGCTTGACCTCTTCTATCTGGCGCCATATACTTTCTCAAAGACTAGGTATTCGACGTCGTATATCTTGTCTTCCTGCCACAACAAATTTTAACACATAAGTCTTTCCATTTTCGCACAGTTTTCTATATTTTGCTTGGCACATCAATTAGTTATCACCTAATCATCAAGATAGCCATTCTCAACGTCATTTTAAGCACAATTCCACCACAATCCATCCAAAATATGTACAAAATACTAGGCAAAATATATACTTGTCACAATACCTCATCCCACTACGTCAATCTAAGGCGATACGGGTGAATGTGATAACCAACCCTACATCAGAAAAGTAAAGTGTGGTCACTGCATGGGATAAGTCTAGATCAATGATATTAGGTCGGACTACATAAATGAGTGGAGGAACTAAGTGCTGTGAGTGTCGTGTGGTCTCTACACGAGGTGAGATTGGACCAATGATATTAGATTGAACTACACAAAGAAGTGAAGGAACTAAATGCTATGTCTCTACATGGAGTGAGACTGGGCCAGTGATATTAGGCCGAATAACACAAGGGAATGGAGGAACTAAATGCTATGCGGGGCTAAATGTCATGTGGTCTCTACACGTGATGAGACTAGGCCAGTGATATTGGGCTGGACTACACAAAGGAGTGGAGGAACTAAGTGATGTGAATGTTTTGTGGTCTCTGCATGAGATAAGACTGGACCAGTGATATTGGGTCAGACTACACATGGGAGTGGAGGAACTAAGTATTGTTTGGAGGTAAGTGCTATGTTGAACTAAGGCCGGTGGGGTGAATGTAATACCCCATCTCACATCAAAAAATTAAAGTGCTATAAACCAATACGAGGGGTGAATATGATATCCCATCTCACATTGGAAAAGTAAAGTACTATAGATTTAAGTAAATCAATACTTGAGTAGAGTTTACACACTTAAATTCAATTTGGGATATCCATCTTGAACTAGTAAGGACAATGCCCGAATAATTGGATTTGGTTGCAAAGACTCTTGTCATGTTTTGGGCCGCGGGTCCGAGGTGTGACATTTTCAATCAGATGCTGACACGTTACCAACCCTAACAACCAGATCTCACTCGAATTGACTTAGGAACTGATTAGCCACAAATTGAAAAGATTGGGAAATTCAATAGAAAGAATTGAAAGATTAGCCACAAATTGAAAATATAATATCCTGAATATATTAAGAATCACAATCATCACTATAAATGTGAATAGTACCATGCAAGTTCAGACCCCATTTATGCAATATGAAAAAAATAAACAAATAAAAAATAAAATAAGATTAATTAAACAAAAGTAAAAATAAAATAAGAAACAAAAAATTTAATAGAACGTTCATTGCGTTGTGATAGATGTATTAGATCAATATCAATAAAAAATTTTACATTAAGTAATTTGGGTATTAGGACGGGACCAATAAAAACACATTCTATATTAGTCCTACGCCAAATAGGTCCCTTGACATTGGGCTGTATTAATTTTTAGCATCTTGGCATCTCAGACGTAGTTGACACTTTTTCAGCACGTTTTACAACTAATGATTGGAGATTAGAGTTAGATTAAGAAGCAATTTAACGAAAACATACTGCAAAGATATTCTGCAATGCCATTAAGGTACTATTAGAAATCATTCCTTGGTTGAATATTCTCATTGTGTGATTTATAGTAAACCAACATTACAGCACCTAAGGGCACTATAGAATCTCCCATATCAGAATCAATTACTGGAAAGTGTTTGCAATTTATAAGTTGCATCCTTTAACATTCCTATTTTGTTTTGATATCTTCAGGTAAATGCTTGGAGTTTGCAATTTGACCCTTAAACCTTTCCAAAAAAATTGAAGTTAATCTCTTACCTTGGTTTTATTAATTTAGTTTGTTTTACCAAGCAAAATTTGATGATTCCGCTCAAGTTTGATTATGCATGTGTTGATGTGAAGATTCTCTGGATGGTTTTTTGAAATAAAAGGATTTGAGCAGGATTTTCAAGAAAATTGCACATACAAATAAAAACCTTGTGCATTTTAACACTAATCGTGATCCTTGCTTTTCAACTATCATGAACAGAATTGTTAGTTCGACTATTTCCAGATTTTTAGACAATCACCAATTGAAAAAAAAAACCTTGAATAAATAAAATGCAGCAATATAATTTATACAATTAAAGGATACGAGCCTCAAATGGATTTCTTTTTTTTTTTCCTTTTTCCATATAACAGCAAATTTACGTTTCAGAAAATCAGTGACATTATAGGGTTGCAATTATGCTGGCTTGATTATTTCTATTTGTGAACTTAGTTAACCAAGTCAAATTGATTCAAGAGTTTATCAACCAAAGATGTTATTCATTTTGGTGAATCTTGTTGTTTCCTTGCTTTTGAATTTGATTGGTTGGCTGTTAACATTTAAGTTCATAGACATTATGTCTATTTACGTTTTGCTTTGAATCAT